GAGAGAGAGGAGGAGAAAGAGAGGATGTGATACCTTTAAATGAGTGTTTACTTCTTAAGTTACTTGAACTCTCTCTCTCTCTCTCTCTCTCTCTCTCTCTCACAGACACACACTCGTGCATACGCTCACGGATACACACACACACGCGCGCAAAAACATGCGCTCGCTCATGCACACACACGCACACACACGTGCCCACAAATACGTACAATCAACGGGAGAGTGCCACCGGGCCACCACTACTATACTATACAATACCATACTATACCTTTTTTATTTATCTTTTTTGTATATATTTTTTTTCGTGTTGCATAGCAGTCGATTGTACTGTATCACTCAGAAATTTTATCATTTTAACTACTCAACACTATTGCATTAATCAGATTTTTTCTCCATAAAAAAACTGTTGTCAGTACATGTGTTTGTATGATTACATTGTTGTATCTGAATTACCTGCAATAAAGATTTAATAATAATAATAATAATAATAATACTCGCTCACCCGGGTAAAGGAATGGAGTGCTGGCCTTGCTCCAGTTGCCCGTGCCCTTAGCGTTGGTGGCGCGCACGCGGAAGCAGTATTGGAATCCCTGTTGCATCTCACCGCCGGGCCAGTAAGGCAGGCTATCATTGTACACTAGCTCCCACTCCCTCTTGTCGCCATCCTCCTCCCTAATAACGAGATAGAGAGAGATAGAGAGAGACCGCTGTGAGTACATAATGCAATGTTGATTATCACTTCTTTACCTTAAGCCCGCCGCACACACGCTGTGGAACTTGCTGCGCCATTTTCCACACGCGTGCGTCAGGCCTTAACAGGTGAATAGCAAGAAAGTGAAGTTGCTATTTACTGGGGGATGGGACAGAAAACGACTATTTTTTCGAAACTAATCACGATTTTTTTGCCTGCCGCGATTCGCAAACGAAAATTAATGTTGCTGTTAATGTTTTTAGTGCGAGTTTTGGGTTCTCGTCTCAGTTTTTACGTAGTTTCGTAGGTCTCCTGTTTTTTCGGCCTGTTCTAGTAATGCAATCAAAAAAATTTGAGCAGGAATGGAAATATTTGCCGTGGCATGAATTCCTGGGAAAACCTCTTCATCACGAACTCTCTTAATTCCGAGCAGTAATGACATCACAGCTTATTGTCATGATCGCTGCTGTTGCCATAGCAACTCACCACATCTGCAGCTCGTAGAGATGGATGGATGCTCCGTTGTCATCGGGCGAATTCCAGTCGACAGTGAACAGGCCGCTGCCCAGCGGGTGGACACTAGGGGGCGCTGGTGCGTCAGGCACATCGGCTACAGCGTGATAAACGCAGGCTTAATTATGACAGATTCTGCATACGAAAAATTTCAGCACTCGACACCCTGAGACAGGATCTCCTTATTAGCGCTACACGAGATATACTATACGTTACAAATCTGACCTGGTTAACGCAGCACAGCATACACAACTGTAGTAAAACAAACTAGTTATTTCAACTCGTCACATAGGGGGCGCTCAGTGGCGTAGCCAGCAATTGGAAACAGGGGGGGCCAAGGCGAGGGAGCGAA